CCAGTTCCACTCTACCTATAGAGCCAATTCAAACAACAATCGTTCCCCAAGGCTGGAGCTGCATTTTCTCAGCGCTAAGGGGCTGGAGTGGAACAAGCAGAATGGGGACTTCAGTACATAGCGCTGAGACAGGCCTGTAAAAATATAGAGGTCCTTTTCTTAGAATAATTCTGTGTTACAGCAATGAAATTTGCAAAATCTAGTCTCCAACTGCTTTTAACAAAAAAAAATGGTTAAAAAGATAACAGTAATTTAGAAATTCTGTTTGAATGGGAGAACCTCAAGCACTCTATCAGTATTCACAAAAGTAGGCAATCACAAATTTGAGAAGACTTCCCATCTTGAGGGAGCAAATTTTTTCCTTAGATATTCAGGAAAGGAAACAAATTCTACACATTAGCGGAGGAGAAAGTTTTTTCTTTCTCCCTACTGCAAACTTTGTGAGAGGTACAAAAGAGTTAATAACCAGGCTCATGGTGGTAGTAGCACATCAGAAAAGTTATGTATGCACACCGTTGTTTACATAGGCCCATCTTATGGTAAGAAAAATTAAATAACATATAGCTCTTGAAACTCTCATACCCTTTGAGAGTTGGACTAGATAATCTTGATAGGTTTCTTCTAACCTAAACACTTCTCCACAGACAAACAATCTAGATTTCATCTCACAAAGTGTCCCATCTGAAGATGCAGTTGTAATTGCTGGTAAGGGTATTACAAAACCAAAATTATCTTATTATTATGGAATGGGTTGCCCAGGTAAGCTGTGAATGCTCCATCCCAGGCAGTGTTCAAGGCCAGGTTGGATGAGGCCTTGAGTGATAGGGTTTAGAGCGAGGTGTCCCTGCCCATGGCAGGGGGGTTGGAACTTGATGATCTATCTTAAGGTCCTTTCCAACCCTAACTATTCTATGACTTCTGTGCTTCTCTTTAAGATAATGTGTGGCAATGGTTTTGCAAGACAGGCTAGGAAAAACAAATATGTAAATAGGAAAAAGACCAAAATGCTAAATATAACCATAATAAATTAGGGTAATTGACAACTTGCTTTCATAGGCTCCTTACTCTCTCACATCTATTGATGGGGAATCCATCTTTGAGGCAGCCCTGAAGTACATAAAGAATACTAAAATTGTTCCAAACCTAAGAAAAATAGAAAATGACCAGAAAAGATCACGACCAGAACCATCCACATCTTAAGTCAGGTGGCAACACAGCTCAAACCACAGCATCTCACTTAGATTCTGGCCAGTCAACACGCTGAATTTAAAAGATCAAAATTAGCTACAGTGTTTAAGACATGCTACATCTAACCACACCTGATTTTAGTCCAATTTCATAGAATAAAATCATAGACTTACAGAACAGTTTGGGTTTGACGAGACCTTAATCATCCAGTTCCAGCACCCTGCCACGGGCAGGGACACCTTCCATTAAACCAGGTTGTTCCAAGCCCTGTTCAACCTGGCCTTGAACACTGCCAGGGATTGGGCAGCCACAGCTTCTCTGGGCAACCTGTGCCAGGGCCTCATCACCCTCACAGGGAACAACTTCCTAGCAGCTCATCTAAATCTCCCCCATGTGAGTTTAAAGCCATTCCCCCTCATCCTGTCACTACAGACCCCGTTAGAAGTCCCTCTCTCCTGCTTTCCTTTCAGCCCCTTTAAATACTAGGGGGCTGCTTTGAGTCTCCCCAGAGCCTTCTCTTCTCAAGGCTGAACAAGCCTTGAAAAGCTATGTCCTTCTGATCCAAGGACTTAAGAATTTGTTGTCTTGCTTAAAAAAAACAAACCAGCCCTCAAGCCCACAAAACAAAGCCCTGAACTATGCCATTTGCCAGGCATCATTACTTAAACCTGAAGACTTCTGCATATTCTCCCATCCTGACCAGAGATTACAAGTTCTAGACAAGCAAAACTGATTGCTACTTAGTTTTGTACAAGCTGTTCAATCGCCTTCAAATCTAGCCTTTTGATTTCAACCTTTTAATAACAGATCCCCAAACTCAGGAAAAGAAGCCTTTTCAGTTTGTTGTCATTTCCAAAACACTGGTTTCAAGTCTTCTTTTTTTCCTTTTTGCCCAAAACTTTGGCTGCCAGCTCCAAAAGACTTCATTCAACAACTTCAGTGAAATCAACTTGCAGCGCAGATTAGCAGTCAACTTCCTCACATGCTCCTTGTAATTCTACTGATCACTGGAGGAATGGCACCCGAGAGGTTCAGAAGCAGTGGCAGATGAACTGCACTCACACCAATTACTATGTTAAATTCTGAAGCCCAAACATTGGGCAAATCCAGGTTAGGATCTAGAGTCTTAGGAAAAACTCCAAGAGCACTTTGCACAAATCATCATATTCATGACATTCAAAGTAGAGACTCCAAACAAATCACTCATCATCTGACTTCCCACAACCTCAAACTGAGAAAAAACATGCACAAACCCAGACTCAGTAAGCCACAAAAAGTTTTAACTGTGCAAAAAGCAGAAAATAAAAAAGCCATGTCTTTTCAAATCTTTTTCATTTTATGCTCAAGATCTCCCTACAACATAATATCAGAAAGTAAATGAACAATGTATTTACTAGAGACAGAAAAGAACATCAAATTGTATAGTCTAGTCATCTAGTGCCCTTTCATGGAAGAAAAAAACTCGCATAAATTCTAGGTAAAATTAAGCAAAAAGACAACTGTATCATTGCGAAAGAAGACAAAGGTTTTGCAAATTGTGACCTATTAATGTGTGTAGACAGATGAATGCTGTAATAAGCAATCTTTAGTGTCAAGACAGTTTCTTACCACACATCCAGTTCTGTATACTCTTTGTTAAGCCTCTACATATGAAATTTTGTGGTTATTTTTACATGTACATAGAAACAAAACACAACACCTTCGATGACACTGGCGATAAAAGAGGAGGAGTGCATTCCCACCGATCTACCCCAAGGCACTGCAAAAATACTACAGGCAAAAGGGGTAGGAAACAACTAGTTTGTTAGTGTGGTTATGGATTTATACATTATTTATAATCTTAGGAAGCCTATACAATTCCTGATGTAAAGGATAAATTAAGACATGCATAAACAACTATTATCAAGAGTGAAAATCATGAAATGAAAGGGTTGACTCCCACAAGTGATTTTTTTTTTTCAAATAAATTTCAAATTACTAAGGGAGAATGAGAAAAAAGTCATCAGACTTCAGAAAGAAAGTATGTAGGTGGATTAATTCACAGTTATCTGTCCCAGAGAAATGGGGTGATAAAGCAACGAACCAGACTCCTCCTGTACAAGTGAGGAGACAACAGGAGAATGCCACCTTAGTCATTCCCCACCCAGTTCTGATCATGGAGAAAGGAAAGGAACTAATTCATTGCATACAAGCACCAGCAGTGCTTCCCCAGCCTATTCCCACCCACATGAAGGCACAAAAGGAGAATACATTATTATCCCAACTCCATTTTAATTAGTCAGTGGGAAAGAAACTCCAATGCTGAACTCCCCTATTGCACTTCTGTTATGTATTAAGGGAGAACCACATAATAATCCCTCCCATCCTCAATTTCAGTTAAGAGACCGTGAGGAAACAGGACACATGCTACACTCCCCCACTCCTCACCGTACTAATAGGGCAGAATAATGAGGCACACAACATCTCCTCTTCCCCTCTCCCTCCTCACAGTGACACCATGACTGTCCCAGCTCTACTGCAAGGAGGACAGAAAGGCATAGCCCTTTTACAGTCAGATTCTTCATGTATATGGAGGTACAGGTCTAGCATCTCTCTCCGCTTGAGTTCCTATTGCATGGCAAGCTAAAGGAACTGGAGAGGAGCTAGCTTAGTTTGGGAGACGAGGTAGGGTACAGACTCAACTAGCATCCCCTTCCCTCTTGAATCCTCACTATTTTAGAGGTGAAAGGAACAAGTGCACACATTTGACTATCATCCTTTCGGATTCCTGCCACACTGCAAAGGAAAAGGAAGGGTATATATGTACATAGGGCTACATAAGTACCCCTTCGTTGGGTCCCCCGTTGCACTGCAAAAGGAAGAGAGCGTGTGGATAGAGCCAGCATCCCCTCGGACTCTCCCTGCACTACAAAGCGGAAAGGACGAGGGAGGTATGCATAGGACTAGAATCCCTTTCCTGCGGCTACCGCACTGCAACATGAAAGCAGGAAAGCGGGGATATAGCAACCCCTTGGGTCCCCACCGCTCCGCAGAAGAAGAGACGCTGGAGCGAGGTGAGGGAACGGCACCTCTGCTCATCGGGGCCCCGGTGCACTCACTGCGAGGGGAAGGAAGATCCGCATCCCCTCCCCTTGGGTCCCTAAGGAAAAGGGAAGGAAAATTCACGGGACGAGCATCCCCTTCTGCTGGCTCCTGGCGCCTAGTAAGGACGGGGGAGCAGGAATGCCCGGGACGAGCATCTGCCGAAGGAGAGGGAATGGATCCAGCATCTCCATGTCGCGCGAGGGAGCACAGGACGACCACCTTTCGCCTCGGCCCGCCGCAGCCAAGTGGGGGTGACTTAACCCTCCGCTCCGCTCGCTCCCCTGCCCTAAGGGCGCTTCATGGCCGCCCCCCACAGCGCCGTCTCCGGGAACGGGTGTCTCTGCTTTGGCGAGCGAGGCGGCCGCTGTACGGGTGAAAGAACGACACCCCCAACGGAAACCCCCTGCCCACCTTCACATCACACCCCGCTCCGCGCCGCCCGGGGCCCAGATCGCCGCCGTTACCTCAGCGCAGAGTCCCACCGCTCCGGCCCCGCTCCTCCGCCTCAGGTGGCGGCAGCAGCGACCGCGCCTCCTCCCGCCCGACCCCGCCGCAACGCTCGCCCCGCCCCTTGCCTCCGCCACGCCCCCCGCTCCGCCACGCCACGCCCCTCTCCCTGTCCGCACAAACGAGCCAATCCGAACGGCCAGAGCTGGTTGCTAGGTAGAACAGAACCTCGGCTTCGACTGCTTTGCCGCTGGTGGGATCTGATTGGCTAGCGCGCTCCCGGAGTGTATGGGGGGAGCTGTTTCTATAGCGACGGGAAGCGGCCTGGCGGGACGAGTAGGCCGCACCGCCCGTGGGCGGGAGGACGCAGGTGAGGGGAGATCCGGCCCTGCCGCGATGGGGACCAGGGTCTGAGGGGACACCGCGGTGGAAGAATCCCCTGGGAGAGAGGAGAGCACACGGTGTGTGTGGGGAGGGGCTGCGGCTGAAGTGGGGCCCAAGGGGACAGGTGCTGAAGGGCATTAGGAGAGACAAACGCTGAGTGGCATGGGGAGCCCACAAATACAGAGAGATACGGAGGAACGGAGACCTGACAAACTCCATAGGGTATGTGAAGGGGATTCCATAGGATGCAGGGAGGGAGTCTGATGGAATGACTGAGAGAATGGATTGGGAGCAGTCCTGAGGAGAAGGACCAGGGGGTGTTGGTCAATGAGAAACTAAACATGACAGTCCCTCATACTTCTACAGCAATATAAGGTACATGAAGTTCAACAAGAGCAAGTGCAAGGTCTTACACCTGTGCTTGGGGCAAGCACAAATACGGGATGGGTGAGACTGGACTGAGAGCAGCCCTGAGGAGAAGGACTTGGGGGTGTTGGTTGCTAAGAAGCTCCCCATGACCCAGCAGTGTGTGCTTGAGCCCAGAAACCAACCGTGTCCTGGGCTGCATCACCAGCAGTGTGACCAGGGGGGATTCTCCCCCTCTGCTCTGCTCTGGTGAGGTTCCCCTGCAGTCCTGCATCCAGCTCTGGGGCCCCAATATAAGGAGATGTGGAGCTGTTGGAGCGAGTTGAGAGGAGACCACAAAGATGCTCTGAGGGCTGGAGCACCTCTGCTATGGAGACAGGCTGAGAGAGCTGGGCTTGTTCAGCCTGGAGAAGAGAAGGCTCCAGGGAGACCTTAGAGCAGCTTCCAGTGCCTTTAGGGGCTGGCAAGAAATCTGGAGAGGGGCTTTTGACAAGGGCCTGCAGGGACAGGACAAGGGGGAATGGCTTTAACCTGACAGAGGGGAGATTGAGATGAGATCTGAGGCAGAAGTTGTTCCCTGTGAAGGTGATGAGGCCCTGGCACAGGTTGCCCAGAGAAGCTGTGGCTGCCCCATCCCTGGCAGTGTTCAAGGCCAGGTTGGATGGGGCTTGGAGCAACCTGGTCCAGTGGAAGGTGTCCCTGCCCATGGCAGGGGGTTGGAACTAGATTGTCTTAAATTGTCTTTGGGTCAACTCAAACCATCCTGTAATTCTGTGATTCTATGAAGATGGAAGCCCCCAGCATGCATCAAGCATGCGCCATGTTGTGAGGAAGGAGGGCTCTGATGCACTCACTGAAGAAGGTATAAACACTGCAGTGTGCAACACAGAGATCCTCCAAGCCAGCTGGACAAACGTTTGTGTCAAGGTCACAGAGCCTTTCATGGGACTGGGGACAACCATGAGAAGATTGATGGGGTAGTGTGGAATACTGACCATGTCTTGCAGCCAGAGAGGACATGTTAATGGAGGACAGGGTGTTACTATGCAAAGTGCAGTGACAAATGTGGAAGGCTGAGTAACACTAGTGCTTTGCAGCTTGTCACTTATGGGCTAGGTAGAGGGAAAGGAGAAGCACAGTATTGGCCTCTTTGTTGCAAATCACTGCAAATATGCACTTTCCCTCATGCCCTTCTCCCAGTGCCATTTTCATAGATGTCCCTCTACAGATTAGGATCTCTTTCACATTATCTTTTCCACACTTGAGTTTTTCCATTTTGAATGCCCTATAGTTTGGCCTCCACTTCAGTTTGCTTTTCTGTTACTGCTGTTTAAAGCATTTCTTCCATATCATCAATCATCATACCATTTATTGCTGATATAATAATTTACAATGAAAACTACGTACCTGTCTGATCTTGAGATTAATTTAAATTCTGTTTATTCACAACTGAACTCCTTGACTGTGCCATGGTTGTCACATGGATTAATGTGATTAGGCTCTTTCTCTGCAAAATATATCCTTAAAGCTCTGAGTGCACCAGGCTCTTTTGAACCACAAAGGCTTACTGCCCTAGAGATGTGGTCCAAAACATTAATAAAGCAGGTTTGCTTCTGAAGGACTCATTGTGAGTATGGTTTGCACCAGTCTCTGGAATGCCATTCCAGAGGGCTAAGCAGAGATTAACCCAGCTAAAGGAAATTATTCCAATGCCTTTAGTTAATATGATATGATCATTGTGTATTGTTAATATTTCTTAAATGCAATCACATTTTTTTAAACCAAGAGCTTAACCCAACTTGCACTAAAATCAGTGAAAGTATTTCCATTGGCTTCAGCAGGATTTCGATCTTGAAATCATCTCACTGTTACATAATGCCATTCATGTTTCCTGCCCTGTGAAGTTATATATGTCTTCTTCATACATCTCAAAAAAGCACAAATCTCTTGGATCCTCAATCAGTATACCTTTTCCTTCAAACTGTGAACAATGCTAGGTACTCTGGCTGTAGTAGCCCAGGCAGTTTTGCTCTTTTTTAACAGTTAAGCTCTGCTGGGCTCACCTGTTCTCTGCAAACCGTTTAAGATAACTGTTTTGAATCGACTCGTGGCCTTTGACCTACTCAAACACAACCAGCTTGAAAACATTGTATATACTCACAAAACTAGGTCTTTTCACCAAAATCTCTCTTGCACTGGTATTTACTATGCCTATCATCTGTTTCTACACTGCCTTTTTATTTTCCCTAGAAAAAGGATAATAGATATTTTCTTAGCATCACGTGCCAATAGCTTTTCGTCTTTGGTTAGTGAACCAACATTTTCCTTATATGTATTTAAAGTTCTATTTCTTGTAAACCTCATTTCACATTTCTTGCTGGTTGAGTGTTTTCAACTTAGAATCACAGAATGGTTGGGGTTGGAAAGAATCTTAAGGCTCATCTAGTCTCAACTCCTCTGCCATGGGCAGGGACACCTTTCACTAGACCAAGTTGCTCCAAGCCCTGTCCAACCTGGTCCTAATTTCACCAAAGAATTCATCCTGTAAACACACGCCTCTGAGGTTGGACTTGGGGCTGCCTCCCTCCCTTCGTCGTGATTTTCAGTGTAGATGGGGAGATAAGGAGCAGAGAGGACACTGCTTGTGTGACTGGGCTGGCAAAGGAGTAGCAAGAGAGGGATGCGCGGCTGGCTCATCATGTATGAAGTTAAAATGTTTGGCTATGCTCACCTTTTTGCCTGATGGTACCTGCCTTTGAAGTGCTGTTTACACATCATGCTTGAACATCAAGTGGAATTCGGGCGGTCCTGTGGCATGTACAGCTGCAAATATGACTTCTGCCGGGTGTGTTCTGAGACACATTTTAGGCACAGAAGGCACATAAGAAGGTCCAGGGACATGACTGTCTCTTTGGAATTCACAGAGGTGCTTTGGGAACGCAGCTGCTCCAACACCAAGAAAGCACGTCTGCATAGGGAAACTGGAACATGAACCCAGCATTGGGAGTGTGCTGCGGTGACAACTGATGGTTTAGTGACTAATGTAGAAGGTTGTCCCTGAAAAACAGGACACGGTTGCCTGAACCTGTTTTTTTGGCAGTGGAGCTGTTTCTCTAGCTTGTAATATTGTATTTCTGTGCATTGAGAAGGGCAGGGGCCCTTCAGAAAAACAAAACCAAATAAGTGATCCCATCGTAATGCATATCCCAAAACCACCTACTCAGTTGCACAAGAAGCCTCTAACATTGGCCAACTACACAATGTAAGGCCTTAAAATCTTAGTAAGTTTTTTAGCTTTCAGTGGCTTCTGTGGGAAGTTAAAATTGTAGAGTGCAGACAAGAAATTATTTAAGGATCTCTATTAAAAAATAAAATAAAAAAAAGGAGAAAGAACTCAGACTCTTGTAATGAACCAATTTCCTAACCATGGACTACACTCCAGCACCAGGGGCAGAGAGAAAGATTGAAGAGATTTTTCTTTTTTTTTTTCTTTGTATTTCTTTGATTCCATAATAACTTAGGAAAGAAAGACAGAAAAACCTAATAAAAAAGGTGATGTCCCCAGAGAGATCCTGCAGTGGGGTTTGAAAATTAATCTTCCATTGATACAGACAGGAATTTTTTCTGGGTAAGGAATGAGGGACTGGGCTTTCATGAAGATGTGTCTTGTGAGCCTCAGAGCTAGAAATGTAGTTTTGCTCGGTGCGTTTTGAGGTACTTGGGGCAACACAATATTGGAGTTACTTAGTGGATTCACCTTTACTTTTTTTTCCCAAAGTCCCATTATTCGCCTTGCCACCATGAAGCTTTAAAGTGATCTGAAGTGTTTACATAAAGAATGCCTAATAGTTACATGCAGGGAACTGAGATAGTTTTTAATGTGGTAAGGAAATTACTTGGTTGTCAGGATGCTGCATTTTAAGCCTCCAGTCTGGAAATGGGATACCTGAGGTGAGCAATGCCATAATCTGCTGAATTGCATAATGCATTACTGAAGGATAGAAGACGAAGGGGAAAAAAAAGCTTTTCCTATGTTTGGACAAGAATTTATGAAGAAATTACTATGTCTGAACAAAGTCCACTTACTTGGTGTCACAAAAGGCAAGGGAAAATTTAGTTAAATGTCTGATTTACTCCACATAGACGTTTTTGTTTAAAAGAGCAGCAGTCAGTTCAATGCTTCAAAACTAATCTGCTGAACACAGGACCCTGAGAGATTTTAGTGCATTCTCAACCATTCTGGATTTCATTCTTTGTGTTAAGTGTTAGAGAAACAAATTGGCCCTTTGAGAGCTGGCATTATATGCCATCAAAATCAGGAAAGATGTAGCTAGTGTCATTTAAGTAGATGCACAAGTTACCTTCAAATTTTAGTGCCAACAACTGGAAAGAGAAATTTCATGTACTTTCTAGCTTGCTGCAAATAGCCTGTTGTGATCATTCATGCAGCAAAAATCAAAGGCTTATTCAATAACAGTTGTGATGGGGAAGACCTGCTTCATAATTAATTATATGACATTAGCACACAAAGATTCCATGGGGAAATCTGGCCTTTACTGACACAGTTACTGTGGGTACATGAAATAAAAGGCCTCAACCTAACTGTCCTTCAAATAATTCTACTTATATCATTGCTATGCTATGAAATCATTGGATTCCGTCTACAAATTGTTTGCTTTTCACTAACATACTGTAATGGAATAGCACAGATATAATTTTGGTCTTTGTTCTGTTCAGATGACATCAGTGGACCCACAGTCTCCTGTGTCTATGGCATTTGCACTTCCTAGAAACATGGAGGGCCCCAAGCTACAGATCAAGATGAGCACATGGACTCCACTGAATTCTCAACTTATGAATGAGAAGGCAAGTTCTGTGCAAATGAGTGAAATTCATAGAATCCCAGAATTGCTGAGGTTGGAAGGGACTTCTGGAGATCATCTAATCCAACCCCTCACAACAAAGTCACACAGAGCTCAGGATCTTGTCCAGTCAGTTTGGAATGTGCTCAGATCCCAAGACAAATTCTCAAGTTCACTTCACAAATTCTCAAGTCCTAGAAAAAATTAACTTATGTGCTGCCCGTGTAGGTCATGAGTACTGTAATAAGAACTTTACTATTAGAAGTATATATATATCAAACACACATACGGTCTTTATTATATATACATATATATAAAAACCATTATTACATAAAAATTGGAAGTTCTAATGCACATTGTTTAAAGTATACAAGTATTTAGTCCAAGTATTGTTATTTTGCAAAATCAGTTGTTTTCAAACAAAAAATTTGTATTAGTTTCTTAGTGAAAGTTACCAAATCATTCTTTTTCTGCACCACAAGGCTTTAGTTTAAGACCAGAGCAAACTGAGTATCAGAGTAAGTTTCTGAGTGGCCAGTGTGCTCCATCTCAGCTCATAGGAGAGGCCTCCATACCCATGCCCTGGCTTCTCTGCTAAGCCTTTCAGTGATGAGCCTCACTTGATATTTTGGAAACTGAAGTGATGCACTCAATTTATAAATAACAAGATGTATTTCCTAACCTCCCACTCTTTATACTATATATGTTCATGTATCACCGGGAGCATATTACTCCCTTGGAATTCAGTTTAAATGTCTTTTGATGATTCATAGCATTTAATCCAGAGAGGGCCATTACATCAGGTAGCCTGGCTTCCTAGATTTCTTGGGCCCTCTTATTTCACACAGTTCTCTCAGTCTTGAGTTCAGGAACTAGAATTTGGCTAAAATATATCCCGCGAAGGTATCCAGACTTCCCTTGGGGCTAAGAATCTTATAAAATAAAAATTCCATCACTTCCCTAATAATTTTCTCATGATTAATCCCCTATACCATGAAAAGATGAAACCTTGGTCCTGTCTGAATACCTGTAGCATGAGCATCCATTATTTAAATCTTCCCCTGATAGCTTATTAAATTCTCCTGTAAAAAGTATTTTTCCCTTGTGGAAGGACTTTCACCCTGCTTCAAGCCAACACTTGAAGTTTTTTTGATAAACTAAACAGATTGAGCTCTTTGATGTCTTTTCAATCTGGCACATTCTGCAGCCTTTGAATCATGTTAATGTCTGTCTCTTATACCCTTTAAAACATATTTTTACATATGCATGTCACTGTATGATCTAACATAGCGTGTTAGATCTAACTAGTATTAATCTAACTAGAAATAAAGTATGATCTAATTAGAAATAAATATAGGGGTGAAACCACCCCTTACCATCTTCTTAATCCTCTGCTCCTTAAGCAGTCTGATGTTGCATTGGGCTGCACTAAAACTTTTAGAAGTTCCTATGGAATTGTTGTATACTCCAATGCTAAATGATGTTCCAGGTTGGAAAGAACATACCGTAAGCTCAGTGATTAAATTCATGATAACAAATGTTTGCTTGTTTCTGATCCAGGTTTTAAAGCATTGACCTGCCTGAAACTTCTTTTTATGTATCAGTGTAACGCTCTGCAGTGTTAGCAGAAAAAAAAAAAAAAAGTACTTCCAACAAAGTCATTGCTGACAGCTGAAATGAGGAGATAATCCAATTGATATATAGATATAAGGAGCTAGTGAGTGAGAAGGTGCCATTTTCATACAACCATATCTCTGTTTATTTCTGCATTCTTGAGTTAAGTGAAAACACAAAGAGAAAATAATTTATAGATAGGAGGTATAGTGAAAACCAGTGAGAAGATGAAAGCATAGAGAAAAGAGATGTGTGAGAAATGTACTTGTTAGTAAAGAGGCAATGATGGGCAGGAATGGCAAGAATTCATTCAGCTGCTGCCTCCATCTATGGTTTTCTGCCCTTACAACAGCTGTTAGAATTAGAATGGTTTGGGTGGGAGGGGACCTTAAAGCTCATCCAGTTCCAACACCCCTGTCATGGGCAGAGACACCTTCCATTAGACCAGGTTGCTCAAAGCCCCATCCAGCCTGGCCTTGAACAATGCCAGGGATGGGGCAGCCACAGCTTCTCTGGGCAGCCACAGCTTCTCTGGGCAGCCTGTGCCAGGGCCTCACCACCCTCACAGGGAGGAATCTTCACATATAACCTAATCTGAATCTCCCTTCTTTCAGTTTAAAGCCATTACCCAGAAGACAAAAGACTATCCAGGGTGTTACTACTGGGACACAGGCAGTTGTGATTGTTTTAAAGTCAGGATCACCATCAGGGACAGATGAAAAGCAAGAAATCAGAATTAGGAAAACTGAAATTATGTAGCATTCATAGTCAGAAAACCAGAGGGTAGAGTCTTAGATATACCAAAGTTGTGCTACAGTCAAGAATGACGTAACGATGGGGCAGCCTGCTCACCTGCAGCAAAACCAGACAGACTTCATCATCAGCCCTGCTGAGTGCAGTGCTGTGCTACCATTAAGGAAGGGTTGGAAGTCAGATGATTCGCCTTCTGCTGGGCAGTCATTTAGGTGTGGGGTAGAAGAACCACCAGTGGCATTTGCAGCAGGGGGTGGGAGGATTTGCCAGGCAGCCTTAAATTTGAGCTTATTTAAAACCACCTGAAGACATGGATATGAGATGGCAGATCTTAGGAGCAACCTAGGCTTCAGGTTGTGTCCAAGGCCAGCCAGCTGTGCACTGTAGGTATAACTCCAAGGCCTTGGAGAAGAGGACAGTAAACATGGGCTTGATCAAGGCAGAGGATGATTACACCAATTTTGGGCCATTCTGTTGCTAATTATTGCTTCCAAGTGCCTGGAGTAGGCAGAACTTTCTGACTGGTTGGCTCAGATGTATCTCCAAGAATGCTGAAAGCAAATATGTGTTTCTTTGATCAAAGACCATTGCTTTCAGTTATATAAATAAGCTCCCTGCTTCACTTGAATTATCCAGCACCAAACTTAGATCTTTGACTATTCATCACTCGTGGCAAATCCTTTTCCAAGTTTTGCTTGTTAAGTTTCTTTACACTGCCAAGTGTCCCACATGCAAATAAACCAAAACATACAAATAAAAGAAATGTCATTTTCCACCCCTCTCAAGAGACACTCCTGCTGAGAGAGACAGAGCTAATACTGTCAACTGTTGCACCAGACATCCACACTGATAATATCTTTCTCTGCAGGAACCTTCCTTGCTGGCTGTCATATCAATAACATGTTTGGAGTTTATAATGATCACACATATTTTCCTAGTTGTGGTTAATAGTTGATTTTCTGTGCAGTTACAAGTTCTTTGATCTGTCTTCTGGAAAAATCATTTACAGCATTTCTTCACTTCCTAGGTCACAATCCTGAGCACAGAATGCAGTTTTGTGGTAGTGGGAAGCCATGTGCTACTGCTTTCAGGTCTAGCTCCCTATGGATAAAGGTTGGCATCATAAGTCCTCCACTGTATTTTACTACTGATCATCCTCCATGTTACTTATCACTGTAAAATGGCCAGGGAACAATGATTGGTCTTACTATGTTACTCCTAAGGGTTCTGCTGCATTAAGATTGAAGCCATCACTAGGGCTCTGTGTGTGTTGTATCCTTTCTAGAAGATTTCAGGCACTCAGTGTCTCCAACTCAGGAGAACTGAAAATTCTAAAATAAAGAGATAGGAAGCCAAGCTTCTGATCTCAGCAAGCACATGAGACATCACGCATCACTGTATGCCCACGAGAGTAGGGTGCTATGTTGGTACATCATGTGGGCAGCAGCTGCAAAGCAGGAAGCTGAGAGGTAGCACATTGCAGCCACTCTGCAGAGCTGTTCTTCACAGTCCTGCACACAGAGGCCTTGAACTTTAGAGAGTTTTCTGCAGTGAAAGGAACCTTTCACAGGATCCAGGCTGTAGAGTTGAAGGTCAGGAAGAAGTAGATGAGATTTTTCTGGATGAAGCCTCATGTTCACAGGCTTTAGTCCTTGTGGGAAACTTTAACCATCCTGATAGCTGCAGGAAGGACAACACAGTGGGCGCATGCAATCCAGATGGTTTCGGGAGTGCATTGATGATAACTTCCTGACACAGGTCATCAAGGAACCAACAAGGGAAGGTGCTCTGCTGGACCTCATACTTACAGAGAAGGAAGAACTGGTTTAAGATGTGAAGGTCAGGGACAATTTTGGCAGCAGGGAGCAGGAGATGATGGAGTTCAGAATACCTAGCGGAAAAAGCAAGACTATTATCAGGATCACAAGCCCACACTTCAGGATAGCAGATTTTGACCTCTTCAAGATTCTATGTGGAAGAATCACATAGAATGTGGTCCTAGAGGGAAGAGAGCTCCAGGAAAAAGGGTTGATTTTCAGACTTTAGTGGAGCTTTCAGTACTGTCTACCATAACATTATCATAGACGAACTGATGAAGTGCGAATGAAGAGTGAGGTGGTCTGAAAACTGACCTACTGGCCTCAAAGGATTGCGATCAGCAGCACAAGTCCAGCCAGAGGCCTGTCACTAGTTGAGTATATGAGGGGTTACACTGGGGCCAGGATCATTTAAAATCTTCATTAACTACTTGAATGGCCGGGCAGAGTGCACCCTCAGCAAGTAATTGAAGATGATACAGAATTGGGAAGAGTAGTTGATAGGCTGGATGTTTGTCTCAGTTCATAGAATCATCAAACAGCCAAGGTTGGAAGGGACCTGAAAAGATCATCTGGTGCAACATTTCATGGGAAAGGGAGCCTAGATGAGATTCTCTAGCCTCCTGTCCAGTTGTGTATTGAAAATGCCAACAAAGGAGACTCTACCATGTCTCTGAGCAGGTTGTTCTGGTGATTAAGAAGAACCTTGACAGGCTGGAGAAATGGTCTTACTGTCTGGAGGGCAGACAGAATGACATGGGGGACCTGGTGAACAGCAAGTTGACCATGAGCCAGCAAGGAAGGCTACCATTTTGCTGGGATACATTAGGAGGAGCGTAGGTGGCAGGTCAAGGGAAGTGATCCTTCCCCTCTACTCAACACTGGTGAGGACAAATCTGGGATCCCCAGTAGAAGACATGGACTTAATGGAACAAAACCAATTTTAGGCTGTAAAAGTTATCAAGGCTGAGAGATCTGAGGCTGTTCAGCCTAGAGAAGTGAAGTTTATTGAGGACCTTATCAGTGTATATAGATATCTGATGGGAGGCATAAAGAAGACAGGGCCAGACTCTTCAGACTCTTCTTGGTGACATTCAGTGAACAGACAAGAGGTGACAGCCACAAATTAAAATGCTAAGTGAAATACATACATATATATATATATATATATATATATAAAAATCTTACTGTGAGGGTGATCACACACTGTTAACAAGGTGCCACAGAAGTTGTGGGGTCTCCATTAAAGAATATATTCAAAACCCATCTGGACATGGCCTTGAGCAACCTGCTTTAGCCCAAACACCTTAGCAGGGAGTCTGGACTAAAGGATCTCCACAGGTTTAGAATCATAGAATCATAGAATAGTTAGGGTTGGAAAGGACCTTAAGATCACCTAGTTCCAACCCCCCTGCCATGGGCAGGGACACCTCACACTAAACCATGTCACCCAAGGCTATGTCCAACCTGGCCTTGAATACTGCCAGGGATGGATCATTCACAACTTCCCCGGGCAACCTATTCCAGTGCCTCACCACCCTTACAGTAAAGAACTTCCTCCTTATATCCAATCTAAAGTTCCCCTGTTTAAGTTTTAACCCGTTACCCCTTGTCCTGTCACTACAGTCCCTAATGAAGAGTCATCCCCAGCATCCCTATAGGCCCCCTCCAGATACTGGAAGGCTGCTATGAGGTCTCCACGCAGCCTTCTCTTCTCCAGGCTGAACAGCCCCAACTTTCTCAGCTGATCTTCATACGGGAGGTGCTCCAGTCCCCTGATCGTCCTCGTGGCCTCCTCTGCACTTGTTCCAACAGATCCATGTCCTTTTTATGTTGAGGACACCAGAAGTGCACACAGTACTCCAAGTGAGGTCTCACAAGAGCAGAGTAGAGGGGCAGGATCACCTCCTGTGACCTGCTTGTCACACTCCTTTTGATGCAGCCCAGGATACAGTTGGCTTGCTGGGCTGCAAGCGCACACTGAAGCTGGCTCATGTTCATTTTCTCACCTACCAGCACCCCCAAGTCCTTCCCTGCAGGGCTGCTCTGAATATGGAAGTTTCTTCCAAACTCTTCCATTCAGTGATTCAGTTTATATTTTGTAGATTGGTTTTAAAGATGTATTTTTCTTAGGACACACTGAATCCCCTTTAAATATTCAATTTTTTTTTGTCTGTGTGTTTTATAGGTATTTGAAGAAAGAAGAGCCTTGCTTGGAAAATGGGTAAACTTTTCTCTTTAAATGTTATATTTTATATATATATTATACTTAAATATTTATGAACTGAGGAAGAGATTACTGTAATGGAAATGTAGAACCTTTCTATTTTGAAAAACGGATTCATTTCTTTATGTGAAAGTGAGCTGTAACTGCTCTACTTTTGAGGAAGGTAAATGTGTAAATTTCCTTAGTGCCCACATTCTGTGAGCTCTGAACATGGGAAATCATATCTCATCTGAAATGGGATAAGAAACCCTGGAAAAAGGTCTGTGAAGTCTTCAAAGAAGATACTGGATGTTTAGGTATTGCCATTGCCTGCTAACAGGTCTTTGAAACCCGTAACTAGTGGCATGTTATCTACCAAATGCACACGTATGGCTCCTCATACTGTAATAACCACTGAGCACCTCACAATTTTTGTCATTATCTTCATAGCTCAAACATAAGACAGAAAAGTGCTGTCACCCTGTTTTGTAGATGAAAAAATGAGGCATAGAAAGACATGAGATGGGATTTGTCTGCCCCAACCACACATAACTGCAAGTTAGGCAGTCAGGCTAGGGTGTCTCTGGCCGGGTGTCTATGTCTGAAACATAATATTCAAGCCTGTCTAGTCTGGTCATCACAAGCTCCATGTGGAGTCAGCAGAGAGAAAACAGTGCTTCCAGAAGGTAATTCGTCTCACTTAATGTAGGACAAAAGATCAGCCCTCTAGGGGCGCCTGTTTCTTCCCACAGCCTATGAGGGGGGAGTCATACCCGGCTGCTTGAAAGGAATACAACTCTAACTGACCTATGCTGAAAGCCAATAGCAGAGCTTACAGGGACACAAAATTTGCCGGAATCCTAAGCTCACCCATTAAATATCACATCATGTTTTTTCTTTTGCATGGCAAACTCCATGTACTGTCCAGCCACTATGGGAAAGTGGCCAGAGTCTGCTCAGTCTTTTATGGAAAAAGGAATATAGACTCAGGAATGTTATTGCAATAAATGATTCAGCGGAAGGTATTAATATGGCTCAGTAGTAACTGTATGGTTGAACCCTGTGCACGTCTTTGTAAATAGAACCAAAGAACCAGTTATATGGTCATAGATTTTACAAAAGCTAAACAGAAATATAGAAACGATGCTTGATAAAAGTATTTGCACGGTAACTTTATTTGAACTATGATGCTTAGTCTTTATGCCTAATAGGTCACTCGTGGAAATTTTTTGCATGTGAACTGGTCTTTACAGACAAGTATTTTGATTTGAAGCTCATAAGCTTTATTCATCTTGCTAGGAAATACACTTCATATCTTATTGACATGCATGCATTTTGATAACAAGGAATTTCACAGGCACCAAGAAAACAAAATGACTGAATTATTGCTGTTCAAAAAACATCTTTAGCATGACTGTCAGTAACTGGCAGACCTAAAACCTGTCTCCTGAACACTGGTGAATGTTTTTAAATGCCCATGGGACATACCAGCAAAAGGGCAAGTATGTTTTCATTAGAACCCTCACTGAAAGAACCAAAAATCTGGAAATATCTTTCTTCCAAACACACATCAGAGTGCTGAATCATCTTCTGAAAGCTTACATTTCTGACCCTTCATGTGACACAAGATCAGTAGCTCTCATCACGCTCCTGTAGAGCTAATTCTCTTGTGCTTCTGTCATCTGTCATACTGATGCAAAGGGTGCAGAAAGCACAAAAGCTGCTCTTAACTCCCTTCAAAGCCTGTGGCATTATAGTATCTGGTATGCAAAGCCTAGAGCACTTTGAGTTTGAGAGAAACTGTGTCAAGAAATCACAGTGCTCAGGGCAGGAGTTTTAACATTGATTCACATGACCTTCTCAAAAGTGTTCTCAGGAAATACGGACTAGATGGAACTGTTGGGGGGGGGGGGGTGTACAGCTGGGAACCCACAGCCAATGTAGTTGTAAATGCTTTATTATGAAAGTGGAAGGCTGAAGTCTGTCCTAAAGTCCAGAATTGATAAGCTTTTTCAGTAACATCTGAATGATGGAATGGAAAGTACGTACTCATCTGCAGATGATACCATGCTTGGAGGAATTTCATGGCTTTTGGAGAGTAAAAATCAGAATCAAATGATCTGCAGTTTGGTAAGGGCAAGTGGAAAGTGCTGCATATTAAGAAAGACATTTACAAAAACCACAGAATTGAGAAAATCCATTAAAAATTGCTGGGAACTATGGTGGATTACAAATTGAACGTAAGCTGACAGTGTCTTAGAATTGTAATAAAGGGAAATATCCCAAAGGGTTGTCTGAAAGGCAGTGCCATGGTCCATTCTGCTCCCTGCATTTTGAGAAAGCTGAGATCCAATTGGATATGCTTTTGAGAACAAGTCAGATGTGAGAAGAGTCTCAGGTCCAGAAAAAAATGAAATAATCTCTTTACTGTAGGGAAGATGGAGGAAAAATGTAATCATATCTTTCCAATGACACACAAAGGATGTCCAGAAAGAGGAAGGGAATGATCTGATCTCAGTGTTCACATTGGATAGGACAAGAAATCATGGACTTGTATTGCAGTGATGGAGAGGCAGTTTAGACACTAGCAAAATCCAGTGCTACAGATAATTCACTGCTGGAATGGTTTGCCTAGGGGTCAAGGTTGGGATCTCCGTCACTGGAGTCTTTTGGGAACAGGTCAAACAAACCCATGTCAGGAATGGTTTAGGTAGAGTGGATCCTGCCTTGTGGCAGGAGATGAACCAGCTCAGTGTTTCTCAACCTTTTTACACTGAAGGACCATCCAACCTTCTGGGAAAGCAGAACAGGTTGCCTTGTGTGGCACTGCCACAGCGGTTTTCCTTGACAGCCAAATAATGGATTAAACTTTGGCTGCTCATTGTTCATTTTATTTTATCTTTGTGATTTTATTTGCATGCATCCAGGACTATGTATGTGCATTTTCATTTAGTTATTTTTTTTCCAGTTGTGCCACAGAACATCTTTGATGTCTCCCAGGCATGTTGTGGTCCATAAAACATGGGTTGAGAAACAATGAACTAGATGACCTGAAGGGATGTCATTTCTCTGTTCCTGCACTGCTGGGCAGTCCCGAAGGGCAGGGGCCTGGCTGTGCCATCACTTGCACTATCCAAGATGCTCAGTGAGACCCTCTACAATTTTTTGGCTGTTTCAGATGGTGCTGAGCTCCACAAAGTGGTATTACTGCATGAAGTGAAAGCAGTGGTGGTATGTAGCAGCTGTTCCCGTGCATCCGTATTTGCAAGATTTGATCCTACTTGGAGGTGTTTATACCTCCAGTATATGTCCAGTATACCTCCAGTATACCAACTCATTTACCCAAGTATCCAGCTGCCTGTAGAAGAGAAATTGTGGTGCTGTCTTTTAGCTGAAATGCTTTTGACAGTTAAACTGTGCAAGGGTTAACATATCTCTGCTAAATTTTTTCATTCTAGTTGCTTTTAGTCTGTATTGCACTCAGGGCAGCTGCCTTGACATGCTGCCTCTCAGCCTCCTTTTCTGCTGTGTTCTGCAAGCCAAAAATTCCTCCCCTTAATTTAAAAAACATAAAAGTAGTTTGCTCTACCTTAATGTTCAGTGCTATCATGCTGACACCCAGGTTAATAAGTTGACAGTGAAGCTGGGGTTGAACTTGTAGATTAAGACACGTAAGCTTCACTGTCTCCTGGTGAGCTGAGCATCTCAGCTTCCATTATAGCCAAATGAGATGTAGACAAGTTAGGGGAGCACAGTGATTCAGTTCACGCTGTGGGCTATATCTTCTGTTAGTAATTTATACGGCACATCCGAGTGTTCCCAGGTACTGAAACTTGCTCATTCACACTATGAAATTGTTCGCACGCTCCCTGGCATGATTCTGGCCTGGGCTGGTAGCACTTTTCCAGGCATTGTTCAGACACAGTTTGGACATTAGCCTGGCCAGCAACCTTGCCAAATTCACAGTTTAGATCCAGCCACCTTGTTTTGAAGGGTGTGAGTACAATAGTGGGGACATATGTGTTATCTAGCTCTCAGTCTCATTATCTATCTCTGATATCACAGCAAATACAATGCAGGACTTGCAGACAACTCTTATCCTTGGAGTGACAGCTTTAGGCTTTGCAGGACACCCCACCACACAGGGCAATGGTCTTTGGGCAGCTTAACCCCACCCCTAGTCACTGCAGACCCCCATCAAGCCTTCCTCAATAGTCTTGGCAGGACTCTTCTCTTGCAAAACTTCAGGATTAGTTGTGTAACTACAGTGTTGAAAGCAAAACCAAACAGATCCTAGGGGCTAGTTGCTAATTGCTAACATGGAGCTGCTTGGCAGCAGAGATGTTTAGGATTTGGTTGGGTGGATTAGTGTATCTTACGGATATCAGGTGCCTACCTGTTTCATCCCTTCTCACTCAGGTCCTGGGTCACCAACAAATCCCTTCATCCGTCTGGTAGAAGATAGATAGGGAGGAAGGGAGGAGAAAATTGCTTTTCCCTAGGTAAATCATCTCCATCTACTTGCAAACCATTCTGCATAAAAGCTTAGATGACTAGAGAATTCATTCCTACATATGCAGAGTGCAGGGATGCCTGCATGTGATTGTAACCCTGTGAACTCAGGTTGACATGCTGGGTTGGAGGTGAGGATTATGTCCCATTTCAGTGGCTAGTTCAAGTCAGTAAAACAACCTGTCTTCTACAGCAGAGAGGGGCCTCTTTAGGTTAAGCGGCAGAGCCTCTGTACTTTGGCACTGAGGTCCTGGGCTCTCCCTGTAGTGTCAGGCTGTGTTATTTGTGTGTGTGCACTCATGGATTAATTGTAAACTGATCACAGAAGCAGGCACTGAGCACTCGGTGTTGCCAGTTTAGCCTTATGTCATACAGTCCCTGGGGAGACATTGTTCGCCAGGGCTTTGGGAAAGGCAGAGAAAAGGGGGAAAGTGTTCCTAGCTGTGCACAGAGAAGGTGCAGCACCTTAAAAAGAGGAATCCTGTCCAACTGGTTGGGTTGCTGTAATCACACACAAGGGGAGGAACTGTGGAGAAAGGCAGCCAAATGTAGGATGGGGATATGCTTGTTAATACTGGAAAAGAGACAAATTATGCCTACTTAACTACTTGGCTGCTGCTGAATGCGATGGAGATGAAGCTAGGTGTTCCCATGCTCCTGACTGTGCAGTGCTGCTTTAAATGGAGATTCCCTTGCAGTGTAAACACAGGCTAAGGATGCTGGAAGGAGCTGCTTTGTTGCAAAACCCAAGGCAGAATGGGAAGAGTTAAATATTCTGTCTCAAAAGACAAGCTAGATTTGCTTTGATTAGTTCACTTAATTTCTTGGGGTGCAAGAGAATAAGCCAGTCACCCCTTGTCTCTGGAACATACATAGGAGAAATTTATCTTTGCAAATTGATGATTGCAGATTGTTTTAATGAGAAGAGGATGTAGCTGTGATCATGAATGGGGAGTGTGTACAGCAGCTGCTTTTCCCTTTTACCATGTGACAGAGAAAGCCTTTTATGTCAATCTGAGGGTCAGAAGGGGACAGGCAAAACCTCCTGTGTCCTCCTCTGGTACACCTTTGTCTGATTTAATTCTCAGGGAACGTATTTCTAAGCCCCAAATCCAAAGGTCCAGCTTCAGTTTTTCCTTAGTACTCTGCTGAATGTCATTAGAGGTGAAATTTATATGCAAAACAGGGATGGGAGGAAGAGGGTGTATTCCTTAATTTACTGTCTGTCTGTGTCTGGAAAGGCACGGACATTTGGAAGCTGTTTTCTATTTGGCATTTCACCTCTCTGGGATCACCAGAATGCCAATTCCACACTTTTCTTCATGCTGACTTTGTTAAATGTCTTGCAGAGGTGTTAGCAAGGAGAACAGCTACTTACTTCTTAGACTTCATTCTCCAGTACTGGAATTAAATACATCCAGGTAGAAATAAAGAAAGAAATAAAGGGTTCTTTAATATGAGGTGGAAAGAAATTATTTCTCAATTACTTTTCATCTGCACAGTATATTTTAAATTATATTCTGCCAGTCCTGTACTTGACCATAGATTTGAGGAAGGAGGAGAGCAGAGAGAAAGAGAAAAGCTGAATTTCTAGTCTGTTTTGTTCTGAAAGGGAAGGGCAGGGACACTGGACATTCAGTCATTTACCCATAATAATAAAAAGTATATATAAGAACTGTATGATTTTTCTTATTAGTTTTAATTTTTGGAGGTCACATTTAACTAAGGATTTCAAATGCCCCTGGGGTTAAATGCAGAAATTAATGTGGTGTGATTTAACCTGTGGAGAGCAAGGTGCCAACTTTCCATAGCTGGCTTCAGGAAACAGTCCTGTGAAAGCAGGGTGTGTGTTTTGGGGATGGCCAACACGTGAGAAAGAAACAAACAGGGAAAAGCAGAATTCCCCAACCAGGGGAATTCCCCAACCAGTTCAAATTTCCTTTTGAAAAGGAGGTGACTTGGGGCCGAGGCTGCTCTTGCTGTGCTAGGAAGAAGGATGAAGCAGGACTTGTCTGGAACCCATATTTCACCTCTGGAAAGCCATCTTCAACCATGTTGTGGTTCTGCTGCCTGCAGTTCCCACTGGGGATTCCAGCTGATCCTGCCTGCAGCCGCTGTGGTCCTCTGACAATTTCTTCCTCGCGGCACTCTGCGCTGCCCTTGCAGCCAGGACTGCTCTTGCAGGTTTTTGAGGCAGATTGCACAGATTGTGGTGATGAGGTCAGTCTCCTCCCAGGAGAGTCCTGCTGACAGGGCCCTTTCCATCCTTTGCTATCAACACAAGCTAAACACCAGCTACTGCCACCATTGCTCCCACCCAGTTTACACAGCTCGGCCCTCTCTGCTCAACGCAGCATTGTTGTTGCCGTCGTAGCAAAGTGATACATGCTTGTGTGGTTACCTGAGGCTCATTTCTTCAGACAACTGTTTTAATCCTCCTCTTTAGATACCCGTCATAAGCATGGAAATGCTGTGAATAGTCTTTCTTACTATGCTGCTGGATCTATGCCTCAGATTTTCCCTGTGAGACATAGGCAGCTGATTCTGTTTTTCTTTTCTCCGCTCCTCTGCAGTAGGAATTTCTCTCCTATGCAGTGGGATTGTGAGAATAAATACTTTAAATATTGTGAGGCACTCAAATATTGCAGTAGTGGGAGCCATAGAAGTGTCAGGATAGATGAGGAATCAGCACTGAACTCATTGCAATTTGGGACCAAATCCTGTAAACACACATCTGAGTCTCCTTTCCATGACTAAAGCCAAGTCTCAGAGCTGGTCCCAGTAGCAAAGAGTCTCGTGAGCATGAGTGTGTCCTGGACTAGGCCATCCTGGATCCTTTGAGGATATAAATCATATGTTACATGGCTTTAGAGTTTCTTTTAATGTAGCCTCTGCATTTGTTCCCAGGACCTACGTGCTTTGCTCTCGAATGAGTCACCAGGAGCTGCTGCTTATGCAGCTTCTCTTGCCTTAAATGTGTGCTTTATTTTAAGAAGCTGAATCTCTGGTTTCTCAGAACCTGAAACCCCTTTTTTCAGTTTGACAAGTGGACAGATGGTCAGAGGCGGAGGATCCTGGTGGACCTGTTGGAACGCTGCTCCCTATCACAGCAGAAATTCTGTGCCAAGCAGCTACAGAATCGAGTCCCCACTGAGGCTCTGGATTTTACCACAAGGCTTCCTAGAGTCCTGTCTTTATACATCTTTTCCTTCCTGGACCCACGGAGCCTTTGTCGATGTGCACAGGTAAAAAAACCCAGCAGGTACCTAAGGTTCAGAAATCAGGCCAAAGGAGATAAAAGAAAAGAAATAGCCCTAGTTGTCAGCAAAGACATACCAGTGCTGTTCATGACGCAAGAATATCTTCTGACTCAGCAGCCTGGTGCCAAATTCTTAGTGATGCTTGTTTGAGACCAAATGCAACACTTCCACAGATCCTAAATTAAGCTAGATTGGCCAAGATTTGCAGAAGTGAAAAGTAATTTTAGATGCTCAGCTCTAAGGTGTTTAAAATGTGGCACTTTACAAGACTGATTCTTCCCAAAGAGGAGGCCTGGTACTTTCTGAAAATCATGTTCGTTTAAAGTACCTTGCACTGTGTGTACAAAATCATTAATTGTTTTGAAAAATACTGGCTTTGTGCTAGTTGCAAAGAACTGCACATGATGCTTTAAAAAAAGCAGATCCTTTAAAATCCTTGAAGGTAAAATCTCGGATGTGGAGAAGCAGAGAAGTTACAGATGTGCTTTTGAGCACAGTGCCTAGGGATTCAGTCTTCTGTGAAAAGTGGCTAAGACTCAAAAAATATATCTGCATGAGACAAAGTGCTGTGAGGCGATGCCCAAAGTAGTTCTGAATGAGTAAGATCAGATATTGGTGACACCATTACTGCCCTAACATAGCACTCCTTATAGAACCATGAATATACCAAAATCTCAGCTTGCTTCTTGCTGTACTATCTTTCTCCAGCATTTCATGTTTTATGTGGCTGCAAATCATGCTATTCATTCACAGGCAGGGAGATGACAGGTTAGGAAATTGCCTACTTAGAAAGAAAGGTCTTTCCATTGCTACTTGTGTCATATCATTGGGCAGCTGCTATTATAAGCATGGAAGTGCCAATAGATGACATGTCCTTAAGCTGGAACAAGCTTTATCAGAGGAAAAAAAGGGTTTATTCCATCTACTATATTCTCGTTGAGTAGAAGTGAAAAGAGCATATAGCAAGCTCACTGCCCTGGACTTCCAAAGAGCAGACTTTGGCCTCTTCAGGAACCTGCTTAGTAAGGTTCCACGGGATATAGCCCTAGAGGGCGGAGGGGGCCAAAACTCTTGGTTGATATTCAAGGATCACCTGCTACAAGCTCAGGAGTGTTGCATCCCAACTAGAAGGAAATGCAGCAGGAGGGCCAGGAGACCTCCTTGGATGGATAAGGAGCTGCTGAGGAAAATTCAAATGAAAAAAGGGGCTTATAAAAGGTGGCAGCAAGGACAGGCGGCCTGGGAAGAGTACAGGGATGTTGTCCAGGAAGCTAGAGACCAGGTTAGGAAAGCTAAGGCCCAGTTAGAATTAAACTTGGCTAGGGATGTGAAAGATAACAGGAAGGGATTCTATAGGTACGCAGTGAATAAAAAACAGACTAGGGACAACATAGGCCCCCTCTGGAAGCTATCAGGAGAACTGGCTACCCTGGATTTGGAAAAGGCTGAGGTTCTTAGTGACATCTTTGCCTCGCTCTTCACTGGCAAAGGCTCTGACCTCGCTCATCACTGGCAGATGCAGGGACTGTGAGAATGAAGACCTTGGGCCCACTGTAGGAGAGGATCTGGTTTGAGGCCATCTTAAAAACCTGAATGTGCACAAGTCCATGGGACCTGATTAAATCCATCCGCGTGTCCTGAAGGAGCTGGTGAATGAAGTTGCTAAGCCACTGTCCATCATATTTGCAAAATCATGGCAGTCAGGTGAAGTTCCCAATGACTGGAAAAAGGGAAATATAACCCCCATTTTCAAGAAAGGTAAAATGGATGACCCAGGGAATTACAGACCAGTCAGTCTCACCTGTGTGCCTGGCAAAATCTTGGAGCAGATTCTCCTGGAAGGCATGCTAAGGCACATGAAAAACAACAAGGTGCTTGGTGACAGCCAGCATGGCTTCACTAAGGGGAAATCCTGCCTGACCAATTTGGTGGCCTTCTATGATGGGGCTACAGAACTGATGCACAGCGGTAGAGCAGTTGGACTTGTGCAAAGCGTTCGACACTGTCCCACACGACATCCTTGTCTCTAAATTGGAGAGACATCAGTTTGATGGATGGACCACTCGGTGGATAAAGAACTGGCTGGATGGCCGCACACAAAGAGTTGTGGTCAATGGCTCAATGTCCGGCTGGAGACCAGTAATGAGTGGTGTCCCTCAGGGATTGGTGTTGGGACCGGTCTTGTTCAACATCTTTGTCAGTGACATGGACAGTGGGATTGAGTGCGCCCTCAGCAAGTTTGCCGATGACACCAAGCTGTGTGGTTCGGTTGATACACTGGAGGGAAGGAATGCCATCCAGAGGGACCTTGACACGCTTGTGAGGTGGGCTGATGCCAACCTCATGAAGTTTAACCATGACAAGTGCAAGGTCCTACACCTGGGTCGGAGCAATCCCAGGCACAGCTACAGGCTGGGCAGAGAAGAGATTCAGAGCAGCCCTGCGGAGAAGGACTTGGGGGTGCTGGTCAATGAGAAAATGAACATGAGCCAGCTTCAGTGTGCGCTTGCAGCCCAGAAAGCCAACCGTATCCTGGGCTGCATCAAAAGGAGTGTGACCAGCAGGTCGAAGGAGGTGATCCTGCCCCTTTATTCTGCTCTCGTGAGACCTCACCTGGAGTATTGTGTGCAGTTCTGGTGTCCTCAACATAAAAAGGACATGGAACTGTTGGAACAAGTCCAGAGAAGGGCCACGAGGACGATCAGGGGACTGGAGCACCTCCTGTATGAAGATAGGCTGAGAAAGTTGGGGCTGTTCAGCCTGGAGAAGAGAAGGCTGCGTGGAGACCTCATAGCAGCCTTCCAGTATCTGGAGGGGGCCTATAGGGATGCTGGGGATGGACTCTTCATTAGGGACTGTAGTGATAGGACAAAGGGTAACAGGTTAAAACTTAAACAGGGGAAGTTTAGATTGGATATAAGGAGGAAATTCTTTCCTGTTAGGGTGGTGAGGCACTGGAATGGGTTGCGCGGGGAGGTTGTAAATGCTCCATTGCCGGCAGTGTTCAAGGCCAGGTTGGACGAAGCCTTGGGTGATATGGTTTAGAGCAAGGTGTCCCTGCCCATGGCAGGGGGGTTGGAACTTGATGATCTTAAGGTCCTTTCCAACCCTAACTATTCTATGATTCTGTGATTCTAAGTTGCCCCAAACAAACTGAAATCTTTCTCTTGGCCCATCATTTCTGAACTATTCCATGCTGTGCTGGAGGTCAGCTTATAGGAACTGAGTGTGTCATGAAGGCCTCAAATGGTTTTAAAAGTTTAATGAAAGGTTTAAATGGGGCATAAACAATACTGAAGAACTGTACTAGTTTAAGGATGTAAGAGAATTACATCCACAGCACAGAAGTCTCTAGCTGCCATTTTGGATGCTTGAGACCCCAAGGTTTCCAACTTACCAGGCATTCACAGGTGAGCTGGTACTGGAAGTACCTGTCTGAACTGGATCAGCTCTGGATGAAGAAATGCCTGCGCTTCGGCTGGTACATCAACTTCTCCCCAACCCCATTTGAGCAAGGAATCTGGAAGAAACATTACATTGAGATGGTGAAAGAGCTGCATGTCACGAGACCAAAGGTACATACTTACCACTGCTACAGATGTTTGGGGCGAGTGGGAAATTTGGGTTGGTTTGGTTCCTCACACCTTTGCCTCTTTATCTGTCTGTAACTCCCCACTTGTAAAATAGAAGATTCATCATTTTAAATTAGAATCTAAACTCTTGTGTTGCCATGTGCTCTGCTTTCCCATCATCCATCCCTGGTAGGTGGGGGAAGTGAAAATCTCACTGGTTAGGAGAAGCAATCACCAAGGTCAACCTCCTGTGCTTTCAGGATGTTCTGGAGTAATTCTGTATATTTTCCTGTCCAGCACTCAAGGCTATTCCCCTATCTTTTTCCCCAGTTTATAGAGCAAATGATACCTTGTCTCAACTTGATTAAGCAGAAATGGGGTACCCAGCAGCACCCCTGCTGACATTTCAGAGTCAGTTCACCTGGTGGAAAGTTAAAAAAGCACACCTTATGCCTGTTACAGCCCTTGGTGTTGTCTCTTTCTCTCCTTTTCAAAGGTGGCAGGGACATTCTGGGGAGGTGGAATGTTACTCAGTAGCCATTGCTTTCTCCTGAGATTCATTGATGCCATGTCTACTTTACAGGGCTGTGAGGGGATTCTGGCCTGAATTCCAAACTCAGCCCTCTAATTTTAAGCGAACTCCCCCCCAGACTTTCTCTGTAGTCAATAGAGAGAAGCCAATGCATCTCAAAAGCAGCTCAGGTCATTTTAATACAGATTATGGGACATGGGTGATGACACACACTGTCAAGGTGCCTATTTCTTTCCATTGACCATAATGGAACCTGGAGAGACTAATTTCGAGTTAATACCCAATTCTCAGAAGCCTAAAGTTAGGTAAAATAAATCTCATTTTCTTTACAGGCTAAAATTTATTTTCTCTTTTAACCACTCTTATTAGACTCCTTCAAAGGATGAGTTTGTGGTTACTGATGTGCAGCCGATAAGAAGCGACATCCCAGAAGCAAAACCTTTTGTGCCAGGAAAGAGGACAAAAAAAGAGAAAAAAGAGCTCCCACCATGGCGTTCATCAGACAGGCATCCTACGGACACCATCCGATTCAACTACCTCAACAACTACGATCCCATCGAGCAGGCCAGGCAGGCGTAAGCTTTTCTTTTGCTTACCTTCTGCTTTTTCTGCAACATAGGGTATATCTGTGTATTTTGCAAGCTCACTTTGCCTGTGCTTCAAGCTGCCTGAAGCCTTATAGTTCAGCAACACGGTGGCAAACCCACTTTGCTGCTCTTCTGGCTTTTCTTGGATGGATCTTGGTCCAGTTGCAGTTACAGCAGCACTACTTTGTGTTCTTTTAGCACAAAGCAGATTAGTGGCTGCCTGTAAAATAAGCTGTAAGTTTTGGGGATGTTACTCAGCTGTAATGGGAAGAATCTGGTCAAGAGTTTGTTCAAGAGCTTTTAAATACAGCTGCAAGGTTGAGAGGAATCTGTCACTTTTGCACAGAAGAGGAAGAATTAATTGTGATGAAATATAATTTTATCACTTCAAGGATCTTCGGTCTAAAAAGAGATTTAGATGACTGAATGGGGGGTGCAAGTATAAAAGTATGAATATCCTATAGAACATTTAAGTAATGAATGTATTTGCATTACACTTCCAGGGATAGAGTGCCTAGACCTGTCCAATTTTGGGTTTTCAGGATTATCTGGTCAGCAACTGGCAAAAGAAAGGCATTTCCACCACAAAGTATAGTTTTGCACACTGACTTGTGTTAGGACTGCCCTATGTTTTCCTTCAACACATCTGGCATCAGATGTTTCCAGAATCTTTGATCTGTGGTCAAATTTCTGTGTGTTAACAAACACCAGTAGAAGGAATAGCAAGGAGGCAGCAGTAGTCACCTGTGGGCAGTATTTGGCCCATTTCTTGGTTAAATCTCTATTAATACCACCTCTCATTTTTCACGGGCTCACAGTAGTTACCTCAATTCAGCTGATGTGCTATAACTTGTGAAACTGGCCAGACTGTCATTAGTTAGAGCCTGGTGAACAAGTAGTGGATTAGCGTGATAAGTGCCTAGTTCTTGTGTGGGTCCCTGTGAAAAGGACTGCACAGCTTCTCACCCAACCACATGTGAAGAGAGGAGATTCCTCTTCACTGTGCCAACAAAAACCTTGGGAACCCACTGAGCCACAATGAAGGTATCCAGATTGCACTTTCAGTAAATAACTGATAGAGCTAAGATTAGCCCTGTGCACAGGAACAATCAACCCATGCATTATCCCAGCTGAGTGATTACTTGGCTAAGCAGTTGTGCACTTACGTAGTCTCTTTCTCAATGTGATTAACTTTGCTGGACCCACCACTCCTCCGGGGTGTTCCACAAAGTTCCCAGTGTCTGAGCAAAAACCTTTTATGAATCATTTTTTAATCCGCGTCCCCTAGTCCTAGGATACTGCACTACTTCAAAGAGCTTTCCAGTTTCCACCTCACCCTCTTTCTGTGGTATGTTTCCAAACTCTAGCACCACTTTAGGTAGAGTTCTTTGAGGCTTTTAAAGAAATAGTTTAACAAAATGCCTTCTGCTGCAAACAGATGTCATAGAATCATAGACCTGATACTGTTTTTCAGTTGTGCTAAATGTTTCTAGGTAGCACCTCCCAAAGGTTTCTCTGAGGTTTAGGGTTCCCTTGTGCTAGCTGTGACCCACTGTCAAAAGTGGGACAAGCCTTGTTTGAGGAGTTAAAAAGCTGTTTGTTCCAGCATTGAGCTGTAGACACAGCTGTCAACCAGATGCAAATGATTTTGAGTTGCTAATGATACAGTAAGCACACTGACTGTTTTCTTCTCCTAAGTGAGATTTGAGCCTCTATCCATTTGTGCAGTGGAGAATAATTTAATGCCAAGTGTTCTAGCAAGTCTAGCATTTATTCATAATTACAGAGGATTATTGCAGGGAGAGAAATGAATTCTGTGAGATTTGCTTGTTTATCAAGGATTTCCCTTTAATCTCACTTAAGGTGAAAGTAATTACTAGTGTGTAGTCTCATCTGTAATGGTTATGCAGCAACACAGGTGTGCTGTTTCAGGTACTGACCCACCTACCCACTCACATAATGATATTCTGGTGCTTCTTTTCTACGGACACATTGCTAACAGAGTCCCCTCTGCAGCTCCTTCCTAGAAGTCATAGAATCACAGAATGGTTTGGGTTGGAAGGGACCTTAAAGCTTATGCAGCTCCAATCCCCTGCTACAGGCAGGGACACCTTCCACTACAGCAGGTTGCTCAAAGCCCCATCCAACCTGGCCTTGAACACTTAGTCCTCCCACTAAGGCTCTATATGGTATCCTCCATCCTTTGCTTCTAGACAGATACCAAGGGATTAGGTCTTCAGCACTTCACATGTCTCCTATCTACAGCAGGAGCAGTGAGACACCACTTTTCATGCTTGGGTGTTCCTCAAGTGCAGGCTTTTGGTGGAGGTGGAAGTGGCAGCTAATGCATGGCTTGGGCAGGTGTAGGCTGCCTATCAATGGCAGCACAATGGCAAAGTGGTCAGAGTGCCCCTCAGGGGTGCCAAACATTGACTTGGATGGCTGATGAAGGCCATGCTCAGCCAATTGTGCCTTAGTTGAGCTAGGAGTCTCATATGAATGCTATGCAAGATGATCTACCTCACTGCAGCCTACAGGCTCAGGCAGACCTAGCCTGACCAGTGCACAGGGTTGTAAAGTAGAACACAGAACCAAGATAAAAATCTCTTCCCCCCCCGGCTGTGTTAGGTATTCTTCAGTTTAGATGAATTCTTGGAGCTCAAGGGCATAACAACCACTCTTCTTGTAATATGAATGTCATAAGTAATAAAATCTATGTAAAATGAGATTCTTAAAACAATAGCAGTGATGTCCCAGAATACACAGTTTTGCAAAGGGACTCCAGCAGAGGAAACAGGTTTTTCTGCAGTCTGAATGTATACAGAGAACAGCGAGTCTATTCTTGAGGTGATGGGCGTGTATGAAAAGATGCAGCAGGATTTGCAGAAAAGCAGCAGAAAGGCAAAGTGGTGGCTGAGAAAGAAGGACCAGAAAGAGCACTTGTGGGCCTGCAGGTTGACTGGAATGCTGTGAACCAAGAAACCATCCTTTCTATTAAAGTTCTGCTGTGCTGAGGAAAACCATGCTTGTCAAAAATTTCTTTGTGAACAAACAAGATTACATCAAAGGAATACCTGATGCCATCATCAAAGCAATGTGTGAGGCTAGTCACCGGCGACTCTTTGAATCAAAGTTAATCTGCCCAATGCCAAGTTAAATTTTGTAGAATTTAAGAGGTAAAAAAAAAAATTAAAGTTTTTCCTAGTTCTTGGGCCTGATAAAACCTCCTGTGAGCTGGACCTCACTCTATATTGGCTTTTTGGTCCAAAGAGAGGTGAGAACACTCCTGTTCTTACAAGGCCAGGCTGGATGGGGCTTTGAGGAACCTAGTGGAAGGTGTCCCTGCCTATGGCAGGGGATTGGAACTAGATGAGCTTTAAAGTCCCTTACGAACCAAACCATTCCATGACTCTGTGTTCATCCTAACAGGGTGCACATGCTATAGCTGAAATATTGTCATTTAAATGGCAGGGTTGTCATCTTTTTCTTTATTGCCCTTTTGAGAGGAGTCGTTAACTACATGCTCCCTTCCACAGTACCAAAACTATGCTGCTGTGAATTCACAGTAAAGAACTTATCCTTGCTTAGCCAAAATAAGGTGAAACGTGGAGAGTGTAAAAAGTTACAATCAATTCCCAGAGACAAAAGGAGTCCTAAGAGAGCTAACACAAAACATATACTTCAGGCTATAAGACTATAATTATATAATTTCAAGGGTATTTACCTTTGAAAAACAAGTAATTCTCTTTCTGTAGAGCAATTGGGCAAGGGTTTGGCTTGGACAGAGCTAGTGCTTCACATCACAGGGGAGAACTGTAACACTGTCCACAGCTAGGTAGTGCCCCAAAATGGCAGAATGGTGTTAACTTGAAATCTGGATTATAATTGAGACTTGATTTGTTTAAATTTTTTCTGATGGATTTTTTTTTGTTGTTGTTTTTGCTGCTTGCTCAGAAAGCCTGAGTTTGTATTATAAAAACTGAATGGCACACAAGAGCCTCAGTGACAAACATCACTGTGGCACAAAGGAGATAGGACAGAGATCCCCAAATATGTTCTCTGAGAGGTTATTTGGTTTAGATGGGATCCTGTGGGAAAAGCTTCAGAATCACTGAGCAATGAAATTAAGAATAGCAATGATCAGATGTGTAGTCTAGGGAGTGGTGAGGTGATAGAGAAGAGATACAGACAGCGGTTGAATTACAAATTGCCTGGAAGGGGTTATCAAAACCCTTCAGTAGAATTATAGCTGTGACTTTTGGTGTTGCTGCACGTACATGTGCAATTTATCACATGGATGATTTCTGGTAGGACTGCTTTGTTTTCTACCTGAATTGTACAGATAGCTTTTTGTTTGTATAGAAACAAAGCAGAGGGCAGCAAGGATGGATTTGTCTCTTTGGGCACACAGCAATACTGAAAAGGCGAAGTGAAAGATTTTTATCTAGAACATGGAATCAAGTTAGCAAATTTTCCCTGGGACTCTGATCTGCCTAAAAGGACCAGGAGGAGCAATTCTTTCAGTCCAAGCATGTACAGTTCTGCTGGAAAGCATCTGGTGTTTGTGCAGCTTGTTGCCAATAAATCAAAAGATTTGCCTCCCACTTTATCATGAATAATGAATTCTGATTCTAGCCTAGTGCTGGAACCTCGCCAAGATTGTGTCCTTGTGCCTCAAGAAAGAGCCCTGCTACTTCTCATGACAACAGCTCAGGCAAAATGCAGCCTCCTTCTCCCCCACTGCCCAACCAGCTCAGGCTTCTGGAAGCCAACACTTAATTCAGTTAGATAATTTATGGACGTAGGCTGGCTCTAAAAACAGTTGCATATTGTACTGGAGTGTTTACCCAATGAGAATATAATTACTTTCAGTAATTGTTCTGTCAGCAGCCTGAGCCCGGTTTCTGACAAAAAGAGGCTTGCTTGCGTGAGAAGGGCATGGTGTTTCACTGTCCTTCCGAATCCTAATGCTTGTCTCCTGCTTATTCGTGTTTCTGAATAGCCAGACCAGTACTTTTTGCCTATTAGGCTTGTGGGCACTCACAACATTCCATAAGGGAAGAAAGTGGGGTGAGAAACACTGAGCTCGGCACTGGGAGCAAGAGACCTGCTATTCTTCCCTTGGCTCCGATACCCTTTTCCTTTGGAGCATTGAGAAGCTCATCCACACTGCTTACATCTTCTTGACCTTGAAGTGAGATTATGATGGTGATACACTGCAGGGGGGTGCTCTGACACCATAAGCATGGACACTAGAATACAGCAGTAGAAGTTGATGTCATAGAAACATGGAATCACAGAACCATAGAATGGTATGGGTTGGAAGGGACCTTAAAGATAATCTGGTTCCAACACCCTGCCACAGACAGAAACACCTTCCACTAGACCAGGTTGCTCAAAGCCCCATCCAACCTGGCCTTGACCACTGCCAGGGATGGGGCAGCCACAGCTTCTCTGGGCAACCTGTGCCAGGGCCTCACCACCCTCACACGGAAGAACTTCTTAAGATCTCAACCTCCCACTCTTTCAGTTTAAAGCCATTCCCCCTTGTCCTGTCCCTACAGGCCCTTGTCAAAAGCCCCTCTCCAGCTTTCCTGTTAGCCCCTTTAGGCACTGGGAGTTGCTCTAAGGTCTGCCCAGAGCCTTTTCTTCTCCAAAATCTTAATTTTCTCACAAATCCTAATTTACAACCACAAGACCAGTTCTGCATTGTATCTAAAAATAATAGAATCATTTAGGCTGGAAAAGACCTTCTAAGATTATTGGGTCCAACCACATGCCTAACACTGCCAACTCCACCAAGATAACCAGTTAATCCCCCATAATAATATTTTGGACTGGATTTTCTCTCTTGACTGTTAGTGGTGTGTTTATAAACAGATTGCAGTTAGCCTTAATTTCCTATTTGAAATAATACCTGATTTGTCTTTATGGCTCTTGATCTGGGTCTCGGACGAGTGAGTACCAAACGTGCTGGTGTTGGCTGCTTAGGAGAACATATGTATTATATGGTGTGAGTCTGTTTCTTTATAGGATAAATGTTATAAAAAAAACAATATAAAATAAAACATACAAATCAAAATAGATGAGAACTATAAAAAACATAATAAACAAAACAAAACATATCAAATCATAGCTAAACAAAACATACATGGAAGCTAAAATCAAACAGGCTAAGGGCAATGAACTAGAAAATTATTATGAAATTAAAAAATAGCAAAATGAAGATAAAATCAAAAGAAAGGAGGATGAAAACAACAACAACAGCAGCAGAAAGAACAGCATCAATAACTACAGAAACAAAAACAACAACAGCAATTACATCAACAGGGGCCCAGTGTCAGACACACCCAGGGACAGTTTAGCTCAGAGCTTTTACTTTACTTAAGTGACTGTGAAGCTTTGCTTCTCCTGTCATTAGGCTGCCTCTCCTTAAGGGAGACAACCTGGCCAGGAGCAGGACACAGAGCTCCCCTATGTCTAGCTCCTCCGGGGGACATCTGTCATTGCAGCCTAGACGTAGTTCGTCTGCCTCCGGTGGGAAAAGGGCAGCAAGAGCACGCAGAGTGACCTTGTTATCTGCTCCTCCCTTTCTTTGCTTACTGCACAGTGTCCTAACAGCCTGTTGCCATGTTTTACAAAGCACTGGATCAATTCTCATGTGAGACTTGCATCTCTTCCCAAAGCTTCTCTTCTTTGCTGTCAACTTTTGATCATTGCAGTTTGATGCTCATTTATTCTCTGTTCATTGCACTGAGCCTGAGAAAGCAGCCCCAAGGTCTTAATACTGAGGATTCATTGTGCTCATCACTAGTAAAATAGGGCATCCTCACATGAAAGAGTCTAGGGAAGTCAGGCTTCCAGAAAGCATCATGGGTCTGAGCTTTTGTAGATACAGCAACAAATAACTGGCAGAAGAAGAACACGCTCACAAGCGTATCAGGGGTTTTGCAGACCTTGAAGCGTGTTTCCTAAGTGATGAAAGCCAGGGAACACATATGAGTTGAGCTAAAGAAGGTTTACATAAAAGAGAGGCATTGTCTCCTGAGACTGGGAGCCATTCTCCTGACCCAAATACAGCCTGTTTGCAAGGAAATAGATTCAGACAGTGTTAAAGAACAGAAAATATTCAGCCTCTGTCTTACAATTTCCATTCTCTAATAGCTTCCTCTGTGCCCTTAGATCGGAGCGCCCTTACATGGCTTCATTCTGCCACAGCTTCCCATTTCAAACTGAAAGCTGTTTTATTGTCAGTCCAGAAGTGAAGGAATCTTAGTTCAGGGGAAAAAAAAAAGTGAACTGGATTTGCTTGCCCCAGATTTTAGGAAAGTTGTGTTCTTCAAAGTTTCTTAACCTGCAACCCCCAATCAGGAAGACACAAGCACCTGGTCTGACTCCCACCATAAAGTCCA